TTTGCCGTATGGTCAGCCATCAACTTTCCATACCACCACCCATCTCCCTTCAAAGCCTGTGTGAGGAAGAAATCTTCATCCTCTTTCCATTCCACAGAATCCGATGTAGGGTCGCTAGGCTGTGGATGCGATCTATAGCCCAAGCACGCTGCGATGGTGCCAAGGTGCGCCACTTTGGGGTTCTCAATGAGCGACTTCTGCATCCTCTGAAGTGCTTCAAGGGAGTTGCATCCTAGGTTTCCAAAATCAGGACCCCAGTCTTCGAGGTAGTTCTGCAGTGGAGCTTGGTCTACGAAGATCATGTACGAGAATGCGCGGGTAGTGAACAACTCGCTGTAGCTCCACAAGATAGCTGCACCTAGACTTGTACCAATGGTTTTGACCGTGCCGTCGCGAAAATTGAAGAAATCGATTAGGTTCTTCAGATCCATGGCTAGACGTGCGACGTGGTAGCCCGCTCTAGGCTTATCAGACTCGCCATGGCCGCGCAAATCGGGGACGATGACATGGAAGCTCTGGGATAAGGTGGAGACATTGCGCTTGAAGACCTTGCCTGAGCCCGTAAAGCCGTGCAGCTGACAATGCAGGTCAGACACGTAGAAGACATGTGCTCGATGGTGGGGGGCTCACCAAGATCAAGGGAGCGGCATCGGGGGTGCCATACGTCTCGTAATGAAGACCAACACCATCATTTGCCGTTAGTGTCGGCATATTTCTAGATCGATAATGAAGTAAAGGTTGATGCAGAGGGTGGCTGGGGTGATGAATCATAAGGTCTACTATTCGGCTTAGTCAGCGTTTCGTCGACAAGGTTAGCTCTGGCGACTGTTCCTGCCACCTACAACCTTGAAAGGTCAGGCATCAACTACTGCAACATCTCACACAACGAAGTTACTATCAAAGTCCAGGATCTAGGCACCTTCTTGCCTCTTTATAGTGGCTACTTTCCTTCCTTCTTCGCTGTTGCACTGCGCGTCATCGTTAGTAGACATGTTGAGTTCAAAATTACCGTGCTGTAGCAGTATTCTCGGGGAGTTGTGCTAACGATATCATTCCTGCATTCACACTACCTTCCTTATTAGTCTCCCTTAGCATATGCCACGGAAACCTCTCGTTCTTGATGAGTATCAAGTATTCTTGAATTTCTTTAATCTTCTCAGATATGCAAAGTCTAGTTCAGTCTTCTCTTCAATGAGGATGTCTCTCCACCATCGACCTAGTAGCATGGCGAAGCACCACCGAACAATGAGAGGTTAATGGGACGACTGAGCTATGTTTCACTAGGAAAACCAGATACCGTAGCTTCCACTTCTTCTCAATACCCTCCGGGGGAGCATATCACCGCATTCGACTGGTATGTCTATAGCGACTGCGAGCACGATGTTTCCATAGTCACCATGAATGATAATGGTGTCTCTCTGATATAGCCATGATTGCTGGGGTCCCAACGTGACGACAAGGGCTTCGTCCATCTGACGCGCAAACAACATCCGAGTTTGACCAGTAAAGTGATTCTTCCATTCACTTCTTGTTCATAAAGCACGGATCTTGCTCTATCGATCATCACATCACTGCTTCTCACTCCAGGCGTTGGTGCCTGAACAGATGCCGGACTCCTAGAGTTGATATAATCCAATCTTTCGCATACGTTGCTATACTTTCTAGCGCACCACTCTGGCTCAGTCCACTCCTCAACCAGCCAGTCTACTCATTCTATTAGACCTCCTTCAATTTCAACCACCGCTTGAATTTTCATCCGCCCAACGCGCATATCGGTCGGCCTTGGGACTTTCGCGGTAATCCCAATCATCGCGTACGGCGGACCACTCGAACACTTCCTCGCTCCCACTACCATCACCAGCTCAACTGGCACATCACCTGACGAGATCTCAGTCAGACTCTTGTCCCTAGCTGCAAACATGGCCACATTCAAGGGCACTAAGGACATCGCGAACAAGAAGACGAAGGGGCTCGAGGACCACAAGAAGATCCAGAAGGAGAAGATACTAGCAAAACGTGCCGCTGCCGCTGAAGGGGTCAAGGCGAAGAAGATCTTGTCTGCGACTGTTGCTGTCGTCTTTGCCAAGGTTGCGTCCGTGCAAGATGAATCCGCTGACGAAGGCGAGATACATACCATGATGAAGGAAGTCAAGGAGTGTATCAAAGAGATGACATTCAAGCAGCCCCTTGATATCGTTGCACACCGCAAAGCCCTGGAAGCTGCATTATACGATAACATGGAGACACCGTGCCAGATGCTGGTTCGCTGCAAGTATACCGCATCCATTGACGCAGAGCATCATCCTGTCGACGGAGACGAGGTTGCAAATGAGGCTGATCGCTCAGACAACGACGCGCTGAACTCGTTCAGGTCAGCGCCTAAATGCCTGGACGACAACTGTTTCGAGATCACGCCGATGATAACTGGTTTGACCGAAGACAACTTGACAAGGCTAACCGAGACCACTTCTTCACTTGCGCTTCTCCGCTTGTTTGACTTAGTCAATGACGCTGGCCAGACCAAAGTCGGTGCCTTCGGTTCATCTGTCTCTTCTGCACCTGACTCCAGCGAGGCTACAGAGTGCGACGAGATCATTGTCAATCTCCCAGATGCGAGCAGACATCCTCATGGTCGTGTCAAGATGGGCCACATGTCCTCTGTCTCCGGTGCTCGGGTCAATGAGAAGCCAGTCGAGGTTCGCACCCTGGAGTCTGTTGAGACTGAGATGCGTCTCGCCCGCGATAAAGGTTCTGTTAACGCACCTGCGTTTGTGGATCCTGCTATCATCGAGTACAAGATCCAAGGTCAGGCTCTTGTTGTCGTCGATGAGCATGCTCAAATGGCGAGCTCACCCACAGATGATCGCGGTGAAGACGGCAACATGCTGGGACCATTCACAGGATGTCGCATCATGTCTTCGCATAGCTTGTCGCCAACATCGTCACATCGATCCCGCGCATCGTCGCCTGTTGACCCTCAGCGGGCATATACACCATGCACACAATACTCTGTCTCTCCGCCCCCGGACTTATCAGTCTCGTCCGTACCATTTGTTATGTCTAGCTACGTCGATCCACGTAGTGTATGGTGGTGCGGCCCTGACATCCAGATGAGCCCACAGATAGAGACTAGGTTGATCGACGTTATACATAGCTCCAAGACTCCTGGTATCATGTGAAGATCAACACATCAGTATGTAGAATATGTATAGAAGATACCTGACATGCCATGTGCTAGTGACTATGGTCGCGACTCTGCTTCGTGAAGATCGCTCACCAATAAGCATTTATATATCATCCTGAAGGTATTCACCGTGTTGCGCATGCCAATCAGCGTGGAAGATCCAGCAAGTACCTCCAGGATACTTCTTGACGTCATGTGCAAATCACGGATTACAAGAGTGTGATACTGGAAGGGTAAGCCACGACCATTGCCAGTTACTATCACCACAAGGAGCTGCGGAGGTAGCTGAAGTCAAGTGCTTCTGGATCTGGAGCGTGGGGAAGGAAGGATGGTCAGGGTCTGGACTGCAGGTGCGGGGAGCTGTTCAGCACGGACTCCAGGGTTCCTGCGAGTAATTCGGCCAACCGCCGCAACCAAGACTCCCCACATCACATCGCTAACATACAAGACTCTTATACTATTTTCAGATCGCTATCTCTAGATTTACTCTAGTACTATTCGTTACCCAACATCATGCTCAAGTCCAAGTGGGCATCCCAGCCCGATGAGGCAGAGAAAGCAGCTCCTGCAGCACCAGAGGCCAGCGCCCCAGCACCAGCGTCTGCAACTGTATGTTTACCGATGCACTGACCCTGGGCCTTCTTCTGCTATTATAGTTGTTTCGCTGGTATACAACGCTGACCCGACATTAGACCGACAGCGCGACGTCCTACGACCCCGCCTATAACGACCCGTCAATAGACCCATTCGCTCAGACAGCAAGTACAGACGACCTCTTCTTCGACGACGATATCACGCCAATCGCCGAGCCCGTCATCGAGCAGAATCCCGTCGAGCTGCAACCTTCGGCCGCCGAATTTGTACCCGAGGAAGTACATCCGCCGACAGCACCCCAAGCACATCTGGCCCCGCATGCGCCCCGAGAGCCACGTAACGCGGAGAGAGGTGGCCGTGGCCGTGGTAGAGGACGAGGCCGCGGAAGAGGTCGTGGGGGACACAACACCGACATTCGTCTAGAGCAGAACGACAAGAAGGCATCCGAGGCTCCCAAGGAAGCGACGCCCGCCCCAGCCGCCAACGCTACCGGAACCGATGCTCCAGAATCCTCAGCTCCTCCTTCCGCACCCACTGAGCCCAAGGAGAAACCTACACACGCTGTGCGCGGCGATAGAGGCTTGACTGGTGGCCCTGCCCGTACGCGCCTGACAGAAGAGGAGCTGAATACGAAGCTTGCCAACATGCGCATTAAGAATGAAGCACGCCAAAGCGCTCATGCTCGCGCCGAGGCTGACAAGGGCAACTTCGAGGCTCGGGAAGCCGTCATGCAAAAGCAGGATGTGGAACGCAAGAAGGCTCTTGCTGAGAAACAGAGGGCAGAACAGAAGGCATTGGCCGAGAAACAAAAGGCAGAACGCCAGAGTCGTCAGCAGATGATGGGAGAGCGTGAAAAGAACCGGCAGCGTAAGCTCAATGCTCAGATGGGCAGGGAGTGGGACTTTGAGAAAGAGGATGGCTTCTCTGGTACTGGAGAGGAGAAACGACGAGGTGCTGCCCGAGGTGCACACGGTGGTATCGCACCCTCTAGACCAACCGACAACGCATCCAATGGGGCCGAAGACTATCATGAGCCTGTTGCACAATCAAGTCGTGGACGTGGTCGTGGTGGAGGTAGAGGCCGTGGTGGTAGGGGTGGCCGTGGCGACTACCGGGAGTCTGACTCGAGGCCGACAGGCGCACAGAAAAAGCGCGACGATATCCCGCCTTCAGCATCAGACTTCCCAGAATTACCTTCCACTAAGGCCAAAGTAACTACAGAGACGAAGGACATGGACGATCTGACCGGCTTGCCGTCACCCATGGAGAAAGGACGTAGTTGGGCTGACGAGGTCGGCTCGTAGGGAGAGCAACAGCAAAAAGATTTGGTAAAAGAGGTGCAAGAGCGATATCGAAGGGCTTATGAACAAGCCGCTAAGGATGAGGCGCAGAGGTATTCGCATCCAGCCTTCATGTCAGATGATGACTTCGCGGCATTGCCGTGGTGGGAGCAGGTGGAATACAACAGCCTCTACAACACCAGGCGCCGCCCAACAGTCGTGTCCAGTATCCGAACAAGCTCGCCTGATAGACTGAAGTCGAGCGATACAATCCATCCCATAACACGTCCTCCGTCAAGGCTCCGGTCAAACCCAGAATCCATAGCATCCTTAGAAAACCCATCGCAAATCGATTTGAACAGTGGTGATACTACACTTGTTGAAGCGCTTCCCTTATCGCCGATTCCTCACCCCGTAGAAGTTTTTGACGAGTCGTCACAGCTGGCCGTACAGAGTGGGGAGACAACGCTTCTTGAATCACCGTCTGCTTCCTCAGTGTCCGCCTCGTCACCAAACATTCGGCAAACTTTGCAGCGTCTTGGAATTCTTTCTCCTACGTCATTTCCGGTGTTGCAAGACGCGCGCAGGTATGTGCGAATTACTGAAGCACAAGGCCCGGAAAGTCATTCAGGCTCCATTGTCAACGATACCATCAGTCACGAATCCGAGAGCGAGTCGGACGATTGTCACATCGGAGATGATATGCCGCCGCGTGACCCAGAGCGCTCGACTATAGCAAACACTAGAGATGGTCAGAGAAGAGTATGGATTATCACACCCGGACGTCCACGAATGGAACCACTTGAGATGGAGCAAGCCGTATTCATGCGAGGTGGAGCTGGCTCAGATGATGATGACGATGACGACGACGATGGTAGTGGTGTGTCGCAAGCCGAGGAAATGAGATTACTGTCCAGCAGGGGCAGGAGGTCGTCAAATCCCTTCCCGTTATCCCGGTTGACTCGACATGTCCCTGGAATCCGTCAATGGGCCCGGTCCCGTAATGACCAGCATACGACAATATCTGATGTCCGACAAGCAGATGTGAATGAGGTGATCTCGACACCACCTGGAGACTTACACCAGGACCTTTCTCATACTCTGACAACTTCTTCCGGAAGCTCTGCGAGGAATGATATGACATCTGCAGGGACCGAGCCACGTATATGCAGTACCAGCAATGATATGGAGCCTAAACATGAGCGTCTAGTGCGAGTGTACCCGCGACCAAGCCCACGTCGTCCTATACGTCCTTCAAGCGTCGGTTCGCGGTTTACCGAGCGGATAGAACTTGACGGCGCGCAGCTGTACATCCTACCTTATTCTGGTAACTCTATGAATACATCATGGCTAATATTTGCCAGGTATGAGGACAGTTTGAGACGCCCAGGAAGATTCAACGTGGAGGCATTCTCGTGGCGATCAAGTCAGAGATCCAGTCGGAATCGTGCGCGTAGTCTTCCTCCCACTACGACGGAGCCACTATCAGATCAGCATGAAAGCTCTCACTGGCGATCGGAACCCCTGTGGCAGCTCTCTGGGACACCTGATAATGCCGAAGTGGATCCAGAGGATAGCGTTTCGCAAAGACGTGTGCACTCGGAGCAATTACCAGCGCGACTGCCATCACCACCAGTACTAGTCAGATCACTCCAACCAGAATCACAACCGCTGCTTCAGTCAGACTCCCTGCCGTCTTCGGGTACGCGTACTCTGGATCCATATACATATCCAATGGGTCCTCCCCGGCTTCGAATCGGTCCAGATGGTCGTTATGACTATGCCAGGATTCCTTATAATCATCCTGATGAAAATTGTTCGGACCTGGTCAAGTGGTGCTGTTGTGAAGTGATGTTCAACTTTTGAGATAGAGCTTTCTTGTACGATCAAGTACTTCAAGCTACAACACAATCAATATGCTCATACTGGCTCTGTAGCGTACTTACTATCTATGAAAGCGTGCTTGAGAGTATACTGGTATGCTTAGGGCGGTGATGTTTTGAACACAGCGAATAACGTACCCTGGACATGTTCACCTTGAGGCTGCATTGACATACAACAAGATGGAAAGTAATGTATATCATGGGATCGACCCTGAATTCAAGACACAGCTAATGAAGGATGACATCCTTGATAGAATGACCCTTGCAGCACGTAATCGGTAATATTTACAACCTCGATGTCTTCCCCCATGTATCGATGTAAGCGTTGGCTTCCTATATCTATCATGATCAGCCACAATCAGATACTCGAGAATATGTTTGACCCCAGGGAAGGAAAGCATGTCGTATATTGGATCAATGAGGATTGGTAGGCTCACTGAATGGAATATTGTATGTACTCTTGTCCAGGAGATAAACGCATATGGCTGATGTGCATCCCTGGATGGGCATGTCGTCAAGACATCGCTGGAACGAAAGATAGTTATCAATCGAAGGGAATATCTTCAAAAGAGCCGTGATGCATATTAAACAAAAAGAACAGACGAATCAGAACAACTTGGTCACAACATGTTTCTCAATGTTTTGTGATTACAATACATACACCATACTTCATCCTTCATCATCGTAAGCCTCTTCAGCGATCCAAATAAGGAAGACAAGCACCACATAGCGCCAATCACCTGTCCTGGTCCCATCTAGAACGACCGAAAAGGAACCCGCACAACCCACGCCCGCTATGAAGAAGGTATGGAAATCGCTCCCAGAAAACATGATAAAAGCTAGAGCACATGATTGCGGACGTCGCCAGAAGCGAATTCGCTTATGGGAGACCGTGGCATGACTGCAATGAAAGCCATTAGCACGGAACCGAAGAAGAAAGAAGGGGTATCAGGGTCAGTAGGGGTGTAGAGGTGCGGTCGGTGAGCTTCTATGACTCGCCTCCAGTTGATGCCGCAGCCGCACCTTCACCACCCCGGAATGATCCCCTTCCACCACGGCCTCCGCGAGCACCTCGCTCGCCACCTCGTCCGCCACGGGAAGCACCGCCACGGCCTCCACGACCGCCACGACCACCCTCACTGTCCGACGCGCCTCCACTTCGGTAACCACCACCCTGGACGCCGCCGCGGTTGCTAGCTTGCCAGCTGCCGGCTCCGTACCTGGGCTGGTTGCTACCAGGACCGCGCTCGTTGTACACCTTGACGGTCTTGTTGTCTGGGCCACCCCTAGCATTCCTGACATCGTCCGCAACGCGACGGAGCGCACCGTGCATGTCTTGAGAAGTAGCGAAATGGGCGACGAAGAAGTGCTTGATCTTCTCCATCTTCTCCACCTTGGGCCTGTCTTCCTCAGCAAGCAGACTCTTGGCTTCCTCCTCATCCTTTACACCAGCAATAAAGAGACCCTTGCTTTCCTTGCGCTCAGCAGGCTCGCGGGGCGCTGGAGATGCAGGTCCCTTCTCTGGCGCCGAAGTGCCATTAGGCTTGACCTCGCTAGGGATGGCCTTTTCAGCAGCAGCGTTCGCCGGTGTGTTGTTGGCTGGAGGCTGTGGTGTAGCGGCCTTGACGGGCTCTTTAGGTGTAGCAGCGGGGGCGGGGGAAGGGCCGGTGCGTGTAGGCTGGCCAGCATTCTGCTTCTGTTGTTGAGGAACCGGTGGGGTTGCAACAGCGGGGCGGGGTTGCTGAGGAGCACTCGCTGGTGGGCCGGCTTGACGTCCTGGAGCAGGAGACGGCTGAGCAGAAGGGCTAGGGTTCACTGCAGCTGGGGGACCAGTGCTGGTGTTGGCGGCTGCGGGCTGAGTTTGACCAGGCGCAACCTTTCCACCTCGGTGAGCGAAGTTGAAACCCTGGGCCCTCATCTCGGTACCGATCCTGCCATTGTCAATGTCCAGTACAAGCCATCCGTAAGCAGCATCTGCAAGGTTGAAGTTCCACATGTTCTTGAAGGCGCTCTCATCGATTTGACCGCTCTGAGGCCCAGGAGCAGGACCACCGAAGGGGTTTCCGCCATTGGCGACAGTGGGCATCTTGTTTACGATCTCCAGCGCTAGGGCGAGCAGACGTTGCTGGGACTCGCTATCAGCCACTGCTGGCTCAACTTCTGTCTTGACAGTATCCCAAACGTCGTTGAATGAGGCCTTGGACGCAGCAAGCTTTCCGCGATAGTGATCGAGGGTGGGGTTGACGCTGAACTCGTTGTACGAGCTACCGTAGCGGAAATGCAGACCAGCTGAGACAGAGAAATCTGCCTTGAGCGTGACGGATAGCTGGTTGAGCAGACCTTCGCGGGCGGGAGATGCGTGGGTGACGAATATGCGGGTTTCGGTCGGATCGTATACGCGGTTGGCCGTGTCGACAAGTTCGCCCATCTGCAGCAGAGTAGTCCACATAGTGCCCTGTCCACCTGCAATGGTAGTCCTGCCCTCGCCATTGTCGAACAGCTTGTGCATGACGACGGCACCTCCGAGACCAAGTAGTCGCAGCTTGACGCCACCTACATCGAGTAGCCGCGAATGCGCCTCATCAATGATGTGCAGGTTGTCCACCTTGTACTCGCCCGATCGCAGCTTCTCCAGTACTTGCACATCTTCACAAGCACCCCAGACGGTGTATACTGGTACGTTCAGGGTGTAGGTCTTGTTGAGGAAGAGGGGCAGTTCTGAGAGTGGCAGGTGCTCTCGTGCGAAGCGCTCCTTGATAGGCGGTTGCGGAGGGGCTGAAGCGATGGAGCGCTTGACGGCATCTGAGAGCAGCGGTGAGTATTGGGCCACGTGCTTGAGGGTCTTCTCGGCGATGCGATCAAGCGAACGATCATCGTAGAAGCCAAAGTCGCCAGTGTGGATGATGTAGTTTGCGCGGGCGTCGGCGGCGAGCTGGTTGAGCGATTGCAGGTTTCCTGATCAGTGTTAGGAGAATATGTTTGATCGTATACCATGGCTGCCATGCTCACCTCGGACATCTGCAATGCATAGCACTCGTACGCTTCCCTGCTGGATCACGCGGCCCTGGTTAGGGAGCAGCGGGACAGCTCCAGGCGCTGGGCCGGATGGACCGCCAGGAGCGCCACCATTGGGAAGGTAGTTGCCTGGGTAAGGGCGCGGCTGGTTAGGTGCTTGCTGGACGAGGTCAGCATCGATGTCACATGTGGTCAGATATGTGCGGCAACTGCCAGACGTACTGAAGCCATGGAGTCGGAGGCGGAGGGGTCGAGAAACGTGTCCTGGTGAGGCGTACAGGCGGCTGGGTTGGACTTGGGGAATAGAGTGGGGTATTACAAGGTCGGGGTATGAGAGAAGTTAGTAGAAGAGCCTCCTCGTTTATGATGGCAGCGGCGAGTTTGTCCTGTCTACCGTTGCTCCTTCTGTTTTTGCTAACAGCTTTCCGCCGCACAGACCCTGGCCTAGCGCGTCCTATCAAGTCGCGTTGGAGCTGTCTGGACTTCTACATCTCTAGCTTCTCCAGCTTCCTCCATCCATTGAGCTTCCTTACCCCTTTGTGTCGTTGTCTATTCATCTCAATCATCTTCTGAGAGCTTTCTGCATGATGATCTTTCATCATGTTATCATCCCAATGGCCTCTGGCACCGCCTCTAGCCACCACCGTCTCGCCGCCTAGCTGTCCAAGGAGCTGCCGTCATCTTATGACGATGATACCAAGCACATTCCTTCTCTTTGAAGCTTTTCCTCAGCTCATCTGCGAAGAAGTCTTCATGCTCCAACCCTGGAAGCCATGCTAGCTTGTACAGTGGTTGTCTAGACCAGCTTACACGACACGCCTACCCAAACTTCTTACAGCTTGCAAGGACACCCAAAGTCAAAGTACCCACCATGCAGAGCAATCTGCGCAGCTACAGGCTACAGCAGCGTCGGCTTCTGGAGGTATGACCTTTTTCGCCTGCCGCCTCCGTCATTGGTCAGTCCTGGACCCTGAGACTAGCGCTGTTCTGAGACTAGCGCCCTCTGGCGGCGCTCGTTTTTTTGAAAAAGTTCCAGTCCCCACCTTGTGCGAGCAGCCAGCGCTCTTCTCACAACTGTCACTATTAAAGGTCTTCGTTGTCCTGCGATAGACCACCAGAGCTTTGCTTTTTACATAACTACACTGTGAGAGCATCGCCATGGACGAGCAACAGTTTGTCCAGCTGCTCGAGGGCCTCATGGAGCGTACGTTACCCAGCCCCGCTGTGCCATAGACCTCTACTAACATTTTCCAGCCGACACCGAGCGTGTCAAATCCGCTACCTCTACCCTCAACAAGAACTACTACAACTCACCCGCCTCTCTCAATGCCCTCCTTCAGATTCTCTGCGGCCACCCCAAGCCTCAGCTCCGCCAATTGGCTGCAGTCGAGGCTAGGAAGCTGGTAACAAAGCACTGGGCCAACCTGCCTGCGGACCAGAAAAACTCTCTCCGCAACCAGTTGTTCCAGTTCACACTGAACGAGGATGTGACTCTCACACGGCACTCTGCTGCCCGCGTCATTGCGGCCATCGCATCCCAAGATTTTGAGGATGGCGAGTGGGCTGACCTGCCCGGATACCTCCAGCAGGCCGCCACCAGCTCCGAGGCACGACACCGTGAAGTTGGTACATACATCATCTTCACCACACTTGAGTCAGCGGGCGACTCGTTCCCCGGCAAGCAAGCCGATCTGTACAAGCTGTTCAGTTCAACCATCCAAGACCCCGAGAGCGTCGATGTCAGAATCAACACAATGCTCAGTCTCAGCCGCCTGGCCATGCTGCTAGAGCCCGACGAGAGCCCCAAGGAGCTTGCCATGTTCCAGGAGTCCATCCCTGGCATGGTCACCGTTCTGAAGGCCACCGTCGACGAGGGTGATGAGGACCGCGCAATGCAAGCTTTCGAGGTCTTCCAGACTCTCCTTGGCTGCGAGTCTGCACTTCTCGCAAAGCACTTTGGCGACCTTGTTCGCTTCATGCTGGAGCTTTCTTCAAGCACCAACGTCGAGGACGATTACCGTTCCCAGGCTCTCGCATTCCTGATGCAGTGTGTCCGCTACAGGAAGCTCAAGGTACAGGGCCTGCGAATCGGTGAGGAGATGACCTTGAAGGCTCTCCACATTGTCACTGAGCTCGGTGATCTGT